TTGTATAAAATAATGTTTTGAAAAGATAACTAATTTAGTTTTTTTAACATATCACAGGAAGGTGTGGAAAATCACAATTTAAAGTAAGCCTGGCTGCTATCTTTTGCAGACGTTCTAATTTGACAATTCTACTTTTTGAACTGTTACCCCAAACAGTAGTGCAGTAGTTTTGACGAGGTTTTACAAAGCAATTATAAAGTCAAACAATATGTCTGACTCACGAAGGGTCTCAGCTTTTTCATCTGAAACATTTGACGTCCAAAGACACACAATCATTTATTGACACTCCCAAGAGTTTTTTTTTAAATTTACGTTTTCAATGTTTACATTGTTGATAACAATGGGCAATACGTCTTTTAATTTACATTTTCTCTACCAAGTATGACATTGTAACAAGCATGGCATTTGTTTTTTTCTGTGTTTACACACATTTTGTTTTTATCACAACATGTTGACACTACTTTTGCATCAGCATGGAGGCTGCTATTTACAACGCCAAATGATTGTTCTTGCGATTGTACAAGGAACTTTAACTTGTAATCAGGGGCAGGTCATTTACATATAAAATGAACGAAAGTGTCCCCAATATTGAACCTTGAGGGAAGCCGACTGTAAGATGGAGAGAATCACTCAAAGTGTTCTTAAAATTTAAAATTTTAATATCTCCCGCTCAAATAACTTTGAAAACGATCATTGATTAAGATGAATACCCATACAATTTAGATATTAAAACAGAGTGGTTAACAAGGTCGAATGCCTTTCGAAAATCTAGAAATAGAACACCTGTCAAAATACCTTTTTCTATAGCCTCATACCACCAGGTGTTTCTAATATTAGTTAGCGCAGTCTGACATGAGTGTTTTGCTCCGGTTACTGATTGGCTATCATGTAATCAAATTGTGGTCAGGGCTTACTTTCGCATACTTCCAAAATTTAAAAACAATTGCGCTAATATTATCCAGCCCGGTGACTTTGTTCAAATTCAATAAAGAGTTTTCAATAAAAGTAGCGTCAACTTGGGGAATATTAAAAATGTAACCGCTCAGTTTTTCTTGTGTGTACACTTTAAGTCTTTTTAACGTATCTGAAGAGTCGTTATCATAAGTTTCTTTTACATACTGATCTGCTTTATTATTGAAATACTCATTAAAATAATTTCCTCTTACAGCTTCATCAGTTATATCTTTGTCATTTGGATCTTTTATTAAACTCGGTAAACATACAAGGTGATGAATAGCTTGTGTTTGTCTGTTACCTCTACCTAAATACCTATTCATAGTTCAAGGTCTTTATTACTTTGAGTTTTTCAACTCTACAGTTACAGGTAACAAAAGTGCAACATTTACAGTGCAAAATACAAAATAAATAGGATTGAACACCATTACTCAACATTACACACACTTACTACACAATTACAGTGCAAAATACAAAATAGCATTACACAACATTACACAACATTACACACACTTACTACACACTTACAAATAGAAACAGTATCATATGTTTGGAGAGTGCAACTAAGCTATTAATAATAATTAGTCTCTTCTCGAATTTGCAAATTTTATATATTTCCCTAAATGTTATTTCGTTTTTATTTTTCACACTCAGTAGCCCTATCAATTTTAACATGCCTGGCTTTTTAATGCATTAAGTTTTAAAAAAAATTGCTCGCAAATCAGAATAACATGGGCATTTAGGAATAAAATTAACATTTCTTAAATTTATGAATAGAACGTGATTTCGTTAATATCATATTCCCAAATAAACCCTAGGCCTATCCTGTATAGCTCATCCTTGATGTTCATTATCCATCTATCCTTATTCTCTACCGTTTCTTGTAACATGCTTTCAAAATACAATAATCAGTTCTTTTCAATTTCATCTAATACTTAACAAATGTTGAATATCCTTAATAACGATAAAGGATACCTGCCAAGTTTTAAGTACACCATAGCATTACAAACATACAAAACATAGTATGTACTTTCTCGACATCAGAGGCTTATTAAACCCTATATTTCCGCACCATAGCTTAATATACTATTAACATATGTGTCAAAAACAAACAATTGAGTTTCAGTATTAAAAAAGTTGTTCAGACATAAACTCATAACTGCAAAAAATGTTTTTCTACCTTGTTCTGATTTTTCCCCCCTAAACGCCCCGTTGTGATTTAACAAGACTCCCAAGTAATTGAATTCATTTACAATTTCTAAATTACACCCTTAATATGTCCGATTATTTTTCATTCTCAGATAACCCCCATTTCTAAACACAAGAATTTATGTTTTGTTAATATTGACAGTAAGACTCCATTTCTCTGTATAAGGTTCTAAAGAATTTAACATTGATTGTTGGCCCTCTGGCGTTTCTGAAATAATTACCATATCGTCGGCTTACATAAGTAAAAGCATATTTCTATCGATGGACAATTGTCAATTAAAAATTGCATTTCACAATCAGTTACATACAAAGCAAATAGTAGAGGTGATACAATTTTCCCTTGAAACAATTTATTTTCCCAATTGAAACAGTCCGATAATAGGCAATTTTGTTTTACGCAACATTTCACACAACTATACAAAGATCTAATTAATTTTAACAACTTCCCATCAATTCCTAACTTTATCAATTTGAACCATAAGTTTTGGAGATTAATAAAATCAAAGTCTTTGTGTTATCAATAAAACAACAATATAATATTGTTTATACCAAATTTAAGTATATTATGGAATAAAATAACAAAACACGGCAATAAAACCGTCCTACACTTAATAATGTATTTATTTAAAATGTAGCCCGGGCCATATGCCTTAATTGTACTTAATTTCTTTATTGCGTACACTATCTCTTCTGTTATATCTACATCTAATTCATCAAAAGTTACAGTAGAAGAGTTACTGTCGTACTTGTGCATACAATCATTTATGTCAACAATAACTTTAAGGTTCAGTTGCATATAATTTTGTAAAAGTGTTGAAGGAAATCAAATTCACTCAAATCATTTTTAATATTTTTCTTATTTTTTCTAAATGCTTGTAAAACCTTTTAGGGTTATACTTTCTCACATAATTCAGCATGTTGTCCTCATGACCCTTATATTGTTTCTTTAGCTTATATTCAAACTTTTTGTACATTGTTTTCTTGTTTATTAAATTGCCCCGATTTTCATCATTTTTACATAGATTAAAAACATACAGAGCGGTTTATACTTTCTATATCGTTCCATTCCACATTCACATGTTCATCATTCTTTTTAAGCGAAATTTGTTCAACAACGTCCGACATACTTGACGATGTACGGTTAAAACACAAACTAACATTAATACAAAAAGTGACTGTGCAGTGGTCGGAGTAAATATTAAAATCACCGGTTTCAAAACTGTTTTGCAAACAAAACAACTTTCTTCTGTAAGTTATCTATGACACGAGTTCCTCTAGCGTTATAAAAAGTTATACTACCTTCTGGATCATCTTAATGTCTACCGCTAACAATTCGAAGTGAAGAGGTTTTGGACATAGTTATATCTGGCGGCCAAATTGATAGACAGTCTTGTCCATACTTTTACGTTTTTCATACTATTATTATCAGCTGATAAATGATCTGTCTAATTATTTAATTTTCACAGTGAAATAAAATCAATTTGATAAAATATGTTCATGTGAGATGATGTAAGGCTAAGCTTGATTTTGTTTTAATCAATCAGAACTGTAATATCAATCTCAATTGCATTCAAAGCCGCCGATTTTCTCTAGAATAATTGGTTGTGTTTATACATCTTTGGTACATACACTAAGTTATTAACAAAGCTACAGACTTGGTATAATTATTGCGAGCAAATTGTACCAAATAAGAGATGAACACTGTAGCTTTGCGTGAAAGACCCCATTAGAATGGCACGCAACCTTGTTTGCATGCGTTATATGAAGACAATGTGTGATTTACTCCCACCTATATATACGTCTAACAGATACACGTATCTCGCGTGAAACACCCATGTGGGATACGTGTTTTTCCTACACTTCACCTTTTCCGTGATATTCCAATAGGGGAAATCAAAGACATTTCCGAAAACACATTTCAAATACTTTGCTTGTTATATTTTCATTAGCTATGATTATGAACTTCAGTTGGTTTCAATCCAAAACAGACATATATGCACCGTTGAAATATTCTATATTTCTTACTGCAGTGCAAAAAAGATATTATTTTATGAGAGTAATTTTCGATATTTCAGTTGTAAAAATGCAATAAATAACATAAAGAAGGAAAGACATCAGGTACAATTTGTGTCCATAACAGTCATAAACGTCAAAAGTCGAAAGCTGAAAGCTAGAGCGAAGTGCCCATTAACATGTACGGTCAAATCGATCCCGTAGAAAAACAAATGGAACTTTTCGACAATGAATTCAGAAGCTTTACGGGTTGTTTTTGAAGTTAAAATGTTCATAAATGCAATGCATACGGAGTCCAGGAAATCTCAAATATTAATGATAAAAACATACATTCCTGAACGAAGATCTTTTACTCATCGACATTAATAAGTTAAAGATGTGTTGTTTTTTTTAAAACTTTCATGACATGTGTGCGAATTATACCTTCATTATACTTGAACTCACAGGCTTCTGAACAGCAAAATTAAATAATTTTTTGATGATTTTTTTTTGATATGGCGGATCGCGTATATGGCATATTATTGTATTTGGAATGTGGAAAATCGTTTTCTGTAATCCGGTCTTACAGAGTTACATTTGTATGGCTGTTTTAATTATGAACACTGTTGAATATCTTTCGGGGATTGGGAACTATGGATTGCTCGTAATACTCCGCCTGAATATTATTAAACCATTTCACCAAGAACTGATAATATATATATACAGAAAAATATGTCATGTTATATTTGATATATATTATTGTCAAATGTCACATTTGGGTACTTCGTTACTGCGGAGAATCATGCAATACTACATTGCTAACACATTTCCATTAAAAACTGATAATGTTTATATTTTTGCCGAGAAATATATCCTGTCTTTGCACACCAATTCACAAACTCTCATATTTCTATATAGATCTGTTGAGAACTGTCCCTAGCGGCGTTACTGCGAGTATCAACAACCTTGACAACCTGTGCTCCACAACTGTGACCACATCAAACCAACAGACACAATCTACTTGGCCCTCGTCGACAGCTTATACACCCACATCCGCAGTGACTGGTATAGGCACCCTTGAACCTAGCAGCACTGATCCAACGGCAGTCATTGAAACCTCGTCCGAGTCAACACCTCCGCTGTCCAATGTCGTTACTTCCGTGAAGCTGGAAATAACATCACTACCGACGGGTAGGTTATGTTTCAATTATTCAATCCTAATTACTGAATACGATACAAAATCACCTACACGTTCGTAAAAAATAGTGCTACGTAACCATTTATTGAGTCACTGAGTGTTTAAATATTTAAATATTTTAATTGACCGACATAAAATAAATTCAAAAATATTTTTCAGCAAAACTGATGGTGTATTTTCAGAATCTATTTTCGAAATCAATACTGCTATCTAAAATGTATATGTTATCATGCAACACAATCAAACTGTAAGAACAAAACCAATCCCATGTGGAACATCTATATTGGATAAATCTTTCCGACAAAGGTGATACAAGTGACCCCTGTTCGTAAACATTTGAATTTCTAAGTATTGACTAGAAAGTGTACAAGAACCAACGTTTGTGTTCTAAATGTTCAGTAGCATATTGGCTAATATTTTGAAAACATGACGTCATTTTGGTGTTATAAATGACATAATTAAATTGACATTTTGGTCAGTGGAACAGTAGTTACAGCCAAACACAGTCGGCATCATACATTGCCTCACGGAAATTAACATTTTATCTCATCTGGTTCGAAGGACCATGGCGAGCTTATGCCATACCACATCGTCCGTCGTCCGTCGCCCGTTGCCAGTCCGTCTGCCAGCTTTTCCTTTAAAACGCTACTAGTCCTGAACAGCTTTATAAATGTTCACTACATTTGGAATGGAGCATCTTTGGGCAAATGGGGCTAAATTTTGTAGCCCTTGGTGAAGACGGGCGGGGCCGAATAGGAGAATTTGAGGAAGATTTTTAAAATCCTTCTTCCCCTGACCATTTGAGAAAAGGTCTAGAGCATCCTTGGGACTAAATTTTGTATAAACGGAAGATGTAGCCCCTTTGGGGTGGAGGGGCGGGGCCCAATAAGGGAAATTTAGGCAAATCTTTAAAATCCATTTCGTTTAGTATGAGTTATTTTAACCGAATTTGGTCCAAACAAATCTTTTGGCAAGAGGGACTTCATTCGTTTTAACAGAGATTGTGGCCCCTCTCGGAGCAAAGGGGACGGGTCCAGTGGGTGGACATATCAATACATGTTTATAATCCTCTTCCTTCAGTTTGTTTGGAGAAATTTTAACCAAATGTCAATTTGGTATAAATACAGGGGTGCTTTAGGGGGCAGAGAGGCGACCCCTATAGGGAAAATTGAAATTAATGTTAAAATCCTCCCCAATTCAAGGGGCAGAAATAAGACCTAATGAGGGACGGGTGTTGCTGAGAGAAAGAGCCAATCATTGGAAATAGTTGTTAGCCCGCAGGCAAATGACCTTATGCCATGGTGCGTCGTCCGTTGTTCGTCCGTCATCCGTCCGGTGTCAACTTTTTACTTTAAACAACTTCGTCTCAGTAACCAAAACGCCTAGGACGATAATATTAAGCCAGTAGCAGGCTTGGATAAAAGGCTACCAAGTGTGTTCAATTGAATGGCATTCGTCCATTTTCAAGGTCCCGGGGTCAAATATGTGGTAAGCTTTAAACAACTTCTTCTGAATAACCAAAAAAGGCCTAGGGTTACGACATTTGTTCTGTAACAGGGGGTAGGATCGATCTCTGGCTTGGGATTGACCAGTGGGATAGTATTGACCAGTGGGGTAGGATTGACAAGTGGGGTACTATTGACCAGTGTGCTGGGATGAAAGGCTACCAAGTTTTTGTTACAAACGAAGGACCTTCTTCAATTTTGAAGGTCATATGGGTCAAATATGTTAAAAACCTTTAAACAACTTCTCCACAGTAATCAAAATGTCTAGGATGATAATATTTGGCCAGCAGCATACTTAGATAAAGGGCTTCAATGTTTGTTCAAATTAATAACCTGTGTCCAAGGTCACAGGGGTCAAATATGTTAAAAGTTTTAGTCAACTTTTCCTAAATGGCCAAAAGGTTTAGGATGATGATATTTGGCCAGTAACATTCTGTGATGAAGGGCAAACAAGTCTGTTTAAATGAACGACATTGACTTCTTTGCAAGGTCACAGGGGTCAAATATGTGCTAATCTTTAAAGAAATTCTTCTGACTAGGCTTATGATATTTGGCCAGTAGCATGCTAGGATAAAGGGTTTACAAGTTTGTTCAAATGAATAACCGTGACTTATATTCAAGGTCACAGGAGTCAAATGTATTTAAAACCTTCGTATATTTTCTTCTCAGTAGCCAAAAACACATAGGATGGTGATATTACGCCAGTAGCATGCTGGGGAAAAGGGCTACAAAGTTTGTTCAAATGAATGACCTTAACTTATATTCATGGTAACAGGGTTCAAATTTGTGGTAAGCTTTAAACAAGTTCTTCTGAATAACTAAAAGGCCTTGGGCGTCGATATTTGGCATGTAACATGCTGGGATGAAGGGCTACCATGTTTTTGTTATAAACGAAGGACCTTCGACAATTTTCAAGGTTGCAGGGGTCAAATATGTTTAAGATATTTAAACAACTTCTTCTGAATAACAAAGAGGAATAGGACAAGGATGTTTTGTCAGTATCATGCTTTAAAGAAGGGCTACCAACTTTGTTTAAATGAATGACCTCGACTTACATTTAAGGTCACAGGGGTCAATTATATTGAAATCTTAAAACGACTTTTCTTTATAAAGAAAAGGACCAGAGTAATGATATTCGGTCAGTAGCATTCTGGGATAAAGGGCTAACAAGTTTGTTCAACTGAATGATCAATTGTCAAGGTCACAGGGGTCAAATATGTTTAAAACTTTTAAACAACTTGTTATTCATAAACAAAAAGCCTAGGGTGATATTTTATCCAGTAACATGCTGGAATAAAGGTTTACCAAGTTAATTTAAATCAGTGACCTTGACCTATATTCAAGGGTTAGATATGCTTCAAACCTTTATTCAACTTCCCCTCAGTAACCATAACGCCTAGGTTGATGATATTTAGCTAGAAGCATGCTGGATGAAGGGCTACAAAGTATGTTCAAATGAATATCCTTCGCCCATTTTCAAGGTCACAGGGGTCAAATACAATACTTTGTATGACCAAAAGGTCCAGGGTCTCTATAAATCAACATTGTATCCTTTGTTTTCGGATGAATGTCTCTATAAAACAGTATTGTATCCTTTGTTTTCTGACGAATGTCTCTATAAAACAACATTGTATCCTTTGTTTTCAGATGACTGTTTCTTAAAACAATATTGTATCCTTTGTTTACTGATGACTGTCTTTATAAAACACCATGGTATCGTTTGTTTTCTGATGATTGTCTCTATAAAACAACATTGTATCTTTTATTTTCTAATGACTGTCTCTATAGTTTGGAGTTGTTCAAAGGATGCAAGAAGAAAAGCTGCTTTTTTTGGCCACTCGATTTCTGAATTGATTCTTTTTCATAAAATGTGTCAATGCCTTGCCCAAATAATATGAAAAAAGCTAAAATTGCTTCCCCCGACTCGAAGGCTAAAAAGTAAATGGCAGTTGTATAGGACCATTTTACTCTGAAGAGAACGATCGACAATTCCGAGGCGGCTGCACGTCTCAAGTAAATTAATAATATAATCATGTTTCTGCTTCCAGCAACCGAGAAAACTGTAACGATATCAGCGACATGTTCAACATGTTCCTGCATTAAACCCACCCCGGTAGATCAGAACAAGTTGGAGGAAAGTCTCAGTAAGCTTAAAGAACAGCTACTCATCAACCCTAAGAAGCTGTCTTCATATAAGCGAGCTTTGACGAGTGCCCCTGACGACCGCAAATCTGCAGCTAACATTGGCTATATTGGCATCCTCGTCCTGTGTTTGGTTCCTGGGATCATCATTCTGTTAGATATGGGCAGGCTTATCAGGGAGTTCAAACAATTCATTATACGCCTCAGAAACTCTCAACGCACAACCGCAAAAATTACTCCAATCGAACGCACCTGAACACGCTTGACAATTACAAATTTTCATGTGATTATGGGATATTTCTCTCTCACTGACTCCGAAGCATTTGGCGTTTCTGTGCAACGTGTTCTTAGTCAATCAGCTTCCTCAAAATCCAGACTCTTTAATTTAAACGGCGGTATCTTGAATTGTTATGTTCACTGCATACATATTCAGCCGTCTTTTCCATGTCAGATTCCATTTTTATCTCTCAATATATACGATGACAGCAAAACTACAGTTTGAATAAGCAGAACTTTAGATTTGGAAAAATATTCTGCAGATCAAACATACAAAAAAAAATAATGTACTGTCGATTTCATAAAGAGGCTTAATACAAATATTTTAGATGTTTAGAAATTTTACACAATTGCAATATTCTGCAGACCTCAATTATACAAATTATTTGATATTTTATTCAAGCTGTCGATATTCTTTTACTACACAGCACCTACATGCAACCTTCTTCATAACTGGTTTTCTAGCATTACTTGCGAGGTTTAACACGTTCCCTATAAGTTAATTTGACGGAAAAACTACCCTAGTTATTGCGAAAACACTAAATCTGTGACGGGGTAGCAGTGGATATATGCCTGAAGCTTATTAATCTGCCAAAGGTTATTACTAAATAAAATACACAGAAATTGAAAAGTTTCACGTAACTGAATTAGAACCTTACACTTGAAGTAACTTTGTACTGCATTTAATGACTTTAAACAAAAGTTTGATTATAAAGCTAACAGGCACAAAAGCAAATAAAAGGATATCTTTTCAGGAGAAAAGTCTCCATCTAAACTAGCGTTTTGACCTGTGAATTTTTCGTGTGTTGAAATATAAAAAGCCAATAAAAATAAACTTGCCTTCTTTGAAATGATTATCATAAAGTATAAATCAACAAGAAAATAAACATGTTCTGAGGTAGAACACAATAGAAGGGTTGGTCGGGGCTAGCTAGTATACAGACCAGTGGGGGTCGGGGCTTAGCTAGTATACAACCCAGTGGGGTCGGGGTTTAGCTAGTAAACAGACCAACGGGGGTCGGGGCTTAGCTAGTATACAGACCAGTGGGGGTCGGGGCTTAGCTAGTATACAAACCGACGGGGTCGGGGCTTAGCTAGTATACAGACTAACGGGGGTCGGGGCTGAGCTTGTATACAGACCAGTGGGGGTCGGGGCTAAGCTAGTATATAGACTAACGGGGTCGGGGCTTAGCTAGTATACAGACCAGTGGGGTCGGGGCTTAGCTAGTATACAGAACAACGGGGGTCGGGGCTAAGCTAGTATACATACCAGTGGGGGTCGGGGCTTAGCTAGTATACAGACAAGTGGGGTCGGGGCTAAGCTAGTATACAAAACACTGTTGATCAACATATTATGCATGTCCATTGTTCGTCACACATGATCATCAACAAAACACAGCTGCATGTATTTCTTATTTAATGTGTTGTTATACTTATGTAAATATCGCTCAATTATGTACAGGTATGTATATGTAACACATATAGGTTTAAGCTTAAATTCGGCTGTGTAGTTCAATTGTTTGTTTCATATAAACAGTATGCACATTCGTTTTTGTTATTAAGCCACATTCTGTGTGTCATTCTTGTATTAGATGAGGCAGTGGATCTATTTAATGTTTGTATCATCATAATTGTATTGTTTTGTTTCAGTTTTGTTATTAATGCATGAAACAGTGTGTCTATTCCATTTTTTAATTATAACACAAATAATGTTTCATTCTTTTATGAAAGTCCTTTCTTCCCTTTTGTTGCTTTGATGAATATACTGGATATTATGCTTCATTCTTGTTATTCATAAGGCAGTGTGTCTATTCCATTTTGTGTTAAAACACAAAAACTATTTCATTTTTTTATATCACAATGTGTCTATTGCATTATTGTCTTTTCTAGGTGTTTTACGGAACATTTCATATTTGTGATTTATTATACATTGTGTCGTTTCCATTCTTATTATGAAATATTTGATATTCTCTTCCTGTGATTCATGAAACAGTGTGTCTTCTCCAAGCCTTTTCATGCTACATATAGGGTTATATTTTTGATGCAAGACACAGTGTGTCGATTCCATTTTTGATTTATGATTCATATAATTTTCGATCTAATGATTCATGACACAGTATGTATATTTCATGTTTTTTATTATAATACATGTATTGTTTTTATTTTTAATCATATATTAGACAGTATGTCAATTTGATATTTTGTTATTATGTATATCCTTGTGGCTTGTGAGACATTTTTGATTATGATGCACATAGTGTTTCGTGCTTGTGATTTATGTCACAATGTGCATATTCCTTGGTTTTTTTTTATTATGATTCATGTAATGTTCATTGTTTTAATTATGTGTAAGACAGTATGTCAAAATTCATTTTTTTTGTTATGATGTATATAATATTTCATTCTTTTGATTCACAAGACAATGTTTCTGTATTATTATTGTAATTACGGTAAATATAATATTTCACCTTTGAAATGCTAAGGTAATGGAGCTATTATATTTTTTGTGTTTGTAATACTTGTTAGTGATATCTTGTGATTGATGAAAAAAGTGATTTTAGCTATTCACCTGGTCCACAGGACTGATGAACTTATGAAATGGCGCAGCAGTTGTCTTTCGTCTTGTCATGCGTCATTGTTTCCTTAGAAAACTACTTCTCCAGAGTAAATGATACAATTTCGACCTATTTGGGGAATTTAAGCCTTGATGGAAGTGTGCGGAGTTGTTTGTTTGACATCTGGGGCCTGAGGAACATGGCATAATGTAGGCCCGTAATAGAGCAGAATAAGATTAGTATATCTTCTAAAGCCTACCAATCCTGAACGAAATACAAATTATGACAATATGTTTCAGGGTTTGTCGTGAGGACAATTCTTTCATCGGGAGCCTTTGAAAAAAATCGTGAGGCCACTGCATGTGGACTTGCGATGTCATGCATGTGGAGCGATGAGAAAAATTGTTCCAACTACAAACCCCAAAACACTTCTGATAAATCAACTTTATACAAATACCTTTAATATGTTCGCAGTCAAAAACCATATTTTCCGACTGACTTCTATAAGCCTCAGTGACATGTGTAAACAAATACAGGTTTTGTATGGAGGGATATAATGGACCTTAAAGTTATGTACAAAATATTTTTAAAGCAATATTCTTGTCATTGGCTTCTTCACATCAACTTTTGCACATTAACCGAGGCAAGGCGATCATGTCAATAAATGAAGATTGTATATCCCCTCTGACATTATTGGTAGGGCCTTAAATGTAAATTATAGGCATTTTCATTTCAAATGTCAACTCCTTATGAACAACTGTTAAATATTTCTAAGGCAAACTAATACTGGTTTGTATAGTGAAGGTGGTGAGGTCCCTAGGGTCAGAGATGGGATTCGTACGTAGAATTAGGAGTGTAAAGATGTACTACTTTAGAATGACTGCGATCTCCTCTATTTGGCTTCTAACACAGAGCGTGGACATGAAAAGATGGATGTATCTACGATAACGGGTTTGGGACCAGGGAGTGAGCCCCCCCCCCCAATGGTATTAACTCCCTGTATCATAACATGGAAACAGTTAAATATTTACCCATGCTTTGCTTTGGAGATATGACCCAATTCCTGGATACTTCCTACACCTTTGGAAGTTCTACCTGGATCTAACATTGCAACAGTTGAGATCCCTACACTATAACCATGTACAATGTACTTAAATGTGGGGTATGGAATACAAACACATTTAAGTTAGTGTTGTCTTGCGTGCCTTTGCGGATTCCGTCCTGGTTAAAGCTTATAATTCTTTTACTTTTTTGATAAACGTGTATGATATTCAACGGGTTTTTATATTGTGTAGAAAATTCCAGGTGACCTCTAAATGTCCCTCGGCCCATTGTTGCTATTATGGTAAGCATCATATACCACCAGTGTCATTGTGAGACAATGTTTCTATTCCATCTATGTATCAGACATTTTCTAAACATGAAGTAAAAATTCAATTGTTGTTATATAAATATATATAATTTTTACATTATACTGATATTTTGATGTATATAGATACTGATGTTATGATGTTTTTCCTATGTGTATTTTCATATAGTAATATTGTTTATTTTGAAACATGGGAAATTCTTATGTTTAGCTTATATGGCATAAAGTGCCCATGTGCTTATGCCATGAGGCGGAGTCCATCGTCGCCTGTGTCGATTACCCGTCTGCCATCTGTCCGTCGTTTGCTCTTTCGTCACTACTTTGAAATAATTCTTCTCAGCAATATATAATCATAAATATCGGTTAGCATTATGCTGATGATGAGCATGACTTACATTATATGTCAAAGAGATCAAAGTGTCGCAAAAACACTTCTCCTAAAAAACCTTAACACCTGCAGTCTTTAATTTACCGTGTAACTTGCTGAAGTCAACAGCAAATATTTGAAATAAAGTCTACCATCCTATAAATCAGTAGAAGAGGAATGGTATATCGCATGAATAGCTTGCTGATGTAAAAGGACACTATAAACTATGTTCGCACACATTTATGGCGAAAAGAGTTGAAACTGTGTAAAAATCAAACAAATAAACCTTATTAGACCAAGCCTTATTATTGTTGAAATTCTGAAGTTATTGTTGAAATTCTGAAGTTAATACAAATCTTAATTTGCCACCATGATCCCAAATTTGTGTTTTCAAATAAACAGGTCAACGATGCAGGCCCATGGACATTTTTTAATCATTATTGATTTTTTTTTATATTATATTGTTGTTGTGATATTGATGTTGTGAGAGATCAATTTGTTGATGTGTTGTGACAAATTCCGAGATTGGATTTATTCTTACCAATGGGAAATTACACAATTGCATTGATCTGACGTTGAAAATGGGAAACAATCCGGACAACGGCTCGGGTGCAAGGTACGTACGATTACTCAGTCCTATGTCGTTATACCAATGTTAGTGTTTACCACATCAATCGAGTATCCAGATGTCAATAAGACATAGTTATTTACTTTGATTACATTTGAAAACTTATGAGATGATAACTCCAATTGAGTACAAGCAAATTCGTTTTACAGGGCGTTGCCATCTATTTGAACTGCACGTGCTAAACTTGGGGAATTAACGTATAACCTGCACAAAAGAAAAAAATCCCCTAACGGAAGTGAATGTCCTTAGTACGAATACTGTTGTGGGTTAAATATGCAACTCAGCACATATGCGTTACCATGAGTGATATGCTGCACCAAATATAAACGAAAAAGTAAACAAATAGGTAAAAAAAGAGTAAACATTTCTTGTTTTCCTCGATTATTTTAGGGCGTTTGTTAACCGATCTTTCCGACAAGACGGGAAAGACTCGAATAATTTCCGAATGACGTGCACGGCTCGACGAGAGAGCCAAGTAGTCCATAAGGTGTGTTATTGATAACTAGATAACACAATAGCGTGTTGATGCAATCTTTATATTTCAATTTCTTTTGTCAGATAGACGTCTTGGTTACATGGAAGACGGAGCAACATTAGAACGATACATTCATGGGGGCCGTATGACGTCACGTTGAGTTTTAGAGAAACAATCACCTTCATGCTGCTATGCAGACGAAACATACAGATTAAATTGTAAGCTTTACGTAATTAACGTTCACTGTAAGTACTTGTATATCTGGAGAAGCACGTGTTTTTCAAAGCATTGGCGCCTCTTGAGTCGTTTGCAAATTAACGATATTTTACAAATATTTATTCGTTCAAATTTAACAAGGAGATAGAATCATACCAGTCCTAGAGGTCACCTGTATAAATAGGAAACCTGTGTTTAGAGACCACGTTTTAAACTCCTTATCTCAATCCTGTCTTGTTCACTGCCTCTGTACTAAGAGATTGCATGCAAAAAGACACCACTTAATGATATGCTTGAAGATGGCCTCTGAATACAGGTTTCAGTGTAAATATTTTATCTCTTATTAAACTGAAAATCCTCGTCAATAAGTTGAATAGAAGAGTTCGTTTAATATCTTTCTCCATCAGTGAATGATTGGTACATGTAATAGCGGGCAATATCGCTGTTAACTTCACTGATATAGCCTCTTTCCTTATAGTTCTACACTAAAACGTATCAATTAAATGATTCCCACTCAATGTTTACCCTACCGTAACAAAAACGTTACTTATCTCGTATGGGCTACAGTACTCATTCTTTGTTTGATTTTGTAATTTTCAACAATTATTCAGTATAAAGGCTTTTGTCCAAATCGATTTATCAGAATTAAGATTTCTTGTCGTTTTCCTTCAATCAATTAATTATTTATCAATGAGCTGAACTTGGTTTTTTTATATGGTTTTAAACAGGAAGTGAGTGAAACATCAAAATTAGAACCAGCTGCTTAAAGTGATGTCATCACCAAGTAGAACCGCGGCTTGAAGTGACGTCATCACCAAGAAGAGCCACTGTGTGAAATTAAATCACCATCATCAATGAAGCTCCATGGTTCAGTTGTGTTAAGATTGATTCATGTTTCATTTTTTTTATATATATTTTTTTAATATATCTTTTTTCTTAATTTGTACAGACATCGTTGATTTTCTATGTATGTTATAATAAGAGTGATACTTTTGGGTCCAATGTCATGAACAGTGTTTTTTTCGATTTTAATTATAATGAAAATATAAAATTCCGCTTTCATAACATAGATCCTCATCTCCCGGTCAATCAATATAATGTAATACACGAACATATATGCTCAGCAAAAAAAGAAAGGTTAACACACCACTCCCTTGGGGACAACCTCCATATCGGTTAAAGTAGAACATTCGGGAATGGAATACCTAGACCAAGTGGTATCCTATTCATTGAAATCATTCAGCTGTAAATGTCTGTGTGATCAAAGAGTTCCTCGTGTGTTTTTGTAAATAATTCGTGAATAACGCAAGTGCCCAGTATAAAACGTAAATGGAATTCCTCTGCTACGATGACCTACTACGATTGAAAACTTTAAAAACAATGAACACAAACACGTATTTTTACATTCCTTGGCTGTCACGAGGTCAGAGGGAAAGTGCTGGTCGTCAAGTTGCACAACAATTTGGTTGCAGTTTAAAGAGCGTAAACCTTTTGTCAAATCGTTTTAACCGAACTTGGTCGAGGTGTGAATGTTCACGAAGCGGAAGACACCGTGTAACGTCTGCTTCTCGGGAAAACCTCCTGAAATGGCTAATCCATCTGCAAAATCACAGATACTACTTAGTCGTCCTGGATCTGCCGAAACCTTCCAAAACCACTTGAAAGTGTATAACACGATAATTCCCCACTGCATACGAGTCGCGTCAAGGTAACTGTTTTAAAACAAAACAATGTTATGGTTTTGGGTTTTTCATCTAAATCACTCGACATATCGTCCATAGTCCACATTTGGAAAGTCTTTGGCAATACGTTCAGAAACGTCAAAATCAGCGGTTTAACTTGCAGGAGATAAAGCTTTGACCGATGAATAAAACACTATCCCTCCTAACCTTATCCGTCAGTTTTTAAGTTCAATTCTTAATTATTATATTTTTTTTCGGCGAAAACAGTGATCATACGTGGTATTATACAGGCGACTTATGAACCTCGACTAACCTTCCCTAAACATGGAATAAAATCAACTCAGCACGGCAATGTTTTTAATAAGAAATTAATTAACCAACACTTCACCGAACAACATATTATTAAATTGAAAAATAAAAAAAACTTTTGGTGAATTATTGTATATTATATAACTACTTGACCAAATGTAAGACGAGTCGTTGACTCAACTTTGTCAACAAGTATATAAATAAAGACTATTATACACTTGCATTAAATAGCTTAATGGAGTGCCCACCCTTCTTTTTTCCTGAGTATACGTACCGTGGGATGAAAATCTGTGTCACGCCCCCAAAAGTGTCTGTTTAAATCTGACTTGATTAGATACAGAAAATTGGAGAAGTTGCAGTATTTCTAATAATCAACTGCATTCATCGGCAATAAAATATTATTGACATTTTGATCTTGGCCCAGTTGCCCGGATTAACAATTTACATTGATAGCTTATATGGTTCCTTTGTATAAGATAAATGTACCATACAGTCTCGAGAATAAGCAATGGATTAGTAACCAGGAAACTATAAGAACACATAACTGTTTTGGTGTATACTTGTTTTTGATTCTGCGTGTATAGTAAGATATCTTGAATAGACGCGATTCGAACTAGCGCTGCAGAAGGTCACTCCCTAAGGTCAAGGTCACTGTTACTTAAAGGCGTTGTGCATTGTGGTATGCAGATGTTCAAAACGGGTTTCAAAGGGTTCTTAGGTCAATATTAAGGTCACTGTTTCCAAAGATATGTACATGATATATATATATGAGGATTTTTTTTTTATATATATAATAGTCAAGGTCACTATTACTAAAAATAGACTATCGCGGTTAAAGTCCTTATCTCAGAAACCAAAACACTAGGATGGCTACGGTCATGCACATGGCGGGATATTGCTGACCTATCAGTGCTCTACTTCTGGCAGTTCTGAGGTACAAATATACAGCTGTTTGAGAGTGCATAAAAGGTGGTTAAATACTTTTCCCTTCTCGATTTTGTATTAGAATCACAGTTTGGATGACGCTTCGACATTTTTTGCTGTTTCATTAATTTCTGGAACTAATGCTCAAATAGGTGTTTTGTACCAAAATAACTACTTCTACGCTATGCAATTCTTCGACGTTTTCTTAATGAACTACAAGAAGCTTCGAGTTTTGTCTAAAACGTCTTCCGAATGACTAGTTCGAATCCTGGCTATTATAGATTAGTAATATTGCACTGTCGCCAATACAGTTTTGTGATCGGTATGGTTTTATCGCGAGGTATCAAAGATAAGAAATATCGTAGAAACAGCTTAATATTGAATCACGTTTATCAAGTAATAATCAGGACCTAATACATATATCATATCAATTTCTGTAACCTTCCATGTATGGTATATACGGCAGTAGACGATGTTAAAATGATAACAATCCTTGATGTGTTGATCCAAACCATTTACCAAACAACCTTTGGCGATTTGGCCGTGAACTAAGCCTGATTGAGGCCATGTTGTTGATACCAAGTCACGTCGGCAGCATGGCATTGTCTGGTAGACCTCCTTACCTAGACCGGCTGTTAGAAAACTTCTATTTAAGATGATTCGGCATCACGTAAATGTAAACTTTCTGTCAACACACACTTTGACCGGCTGTTTGGTGGCTACTTATTGTATTTTTAACAGTGGTAAACTGATTTTACTACCACAGTTTTACCTAGTGAAAAGTCATTCTACGAAAAACAGGTGTGACTACAAATACTTGTTGCTTATAATAAACCCAATTGGATATTGTGTTGTTTTTACGAAATTATGAACCATCGCCGTGCGACTTCGGCTGTTAAACACAAATCAAAATGTATAACCCCCCCCCCCTTCCTTGAACATGTGCAAGATGCTGCCATTTTGTTTTCTATAAGCGTTTACCTACAGCAAACCATTGCTGATTTTCGAGACTTGTCTGTATTCGATTAAGCCTATTTAGGTCACCATAGAACTATACTATTGCGATCGTCTTTTGTCCGGTGTCTCGTGTCGTCGTCGTCCGTCCGTAAACAATTCACGTTTTTGACATATTCTCTGTGATCTAATCCCCAAGGGGTCCGAGAGGTAGGAACAAAAGGGGTCAAATTGGCTAAAATTTCAACAAATCCTTCTTCAGACTCAGATTATCTGGAATAAAATACATGTTTTTGTCCATAGATCGATAGGTATTTGGATGCCTTATGCAAATTATTAGTTGGTTGGATTGATCATCGTGTGATTGGAGTTTGATATTATAAACATCAAAGGGATTGAGGGGTGGGCCTAAATTGAGCCAAGTTGGAGAAATTAAAACAAACTTCTTCTTCAGACACAGTTTTACTGGAATCATACACTTTTCATGGATGGAAGGGCAAAAGGCGTTTATCTTTTCAAAACTGAATTTTATTATCCCCGGATTACCTATTACCCTTCGGGAGGGGGTAATCTTTAATATATATATATAGTTATTTAGAGAAATAACTATCTTGGGAATATTTTGCCCATTTTTCAGTGGGTAAGAATTCAAACTTGATTGGAATTATCAACATGTGATTGCAGTTTGATGGTATTAAAAACCAGACCCTGATTCACCGGTAGGGTCTGAGGATTGCAGTTTGATGGTATGAAAAACCAGAACCTGATTCACCCATAGGGTCTGTGATTGCAGTTTGATGGTATTAAAAAACAGACCCTGATTCACCTCTAGGGTCTGAGGATTGGGTCCAAAAAGGTCAAACCGGCAACAGTTTTCTTCTTCAGACCCAAATTTGCTGAAATCCAATCCTCTTCATGAGAGAAAAAGTCTGAAGGCTTTTTATCAAAATTCAGAGTGTAAATTGTATAGTTTATACTGTTCTAGACACTTTTTGGTATATTGTGCTTATGTTTAGTGGGAAAGAATTCAAACAGTGTTTGGAGGAATAATCCTGTGAATGCAGTATGATTTTATAAAGTTAAAGACCCAGATTCGTCTCTAAGTTACCCGAAGGCGGAGCCCAAAGAGGTCCGATTGTCTTAAATTTTAATAGTCTTCCTTTCTAGACCCAGCTTTGCGAGAATCAAAACTTCTGCATGGATGGATGAATGGAAAGGTCTCTAGTTCCTATCAAATTTTGAATATACAACCCCGGTAAATAATTCATATTTTTGACATATTCTATGTTATCTAATCCCCAAGGGGTCCGAGAGGCAGGAACAAAAGGGGTCAAATTGTCTGAAATTTCAACAAATCCTTCTTCAGACTCAGATTATCTGGAATAAAATATATGTTTTTGTTCTTGGATGGAAAGGTCTCTAGTTTCTATCAAAACTAGTCCCCTCCCTCCTCCTCTGGGGAAGGGGGTAAAGAGTTGACAATTTATATAAGGAAATATTTGTTTTGTATATTTTGCTTTTTTTCAGTGGGGAAAAATCAGACTTGGTTAGAATTTTCATCATGTTCGATGGTAGTATAATCGAGATCCTGCTCACTCCGGGGGTCTGAGGGGCGGTGCCAAAAAGGGTCACACTTGCTTAAATTTCAGCAAAACTGTGAGTTTCACTCCACTTCCGGTCACCCATTCCTGCATGGGTAGGGGGTAGGGGGTATTTTATTATTTGGTTATCAGTAACATAATTAAATAACACAATTTTGTCAGGAAATCCGCTGTCTGATAGCCATATTTTGATTAATTACAATATTTGTTTCTGTAACATCACAGCAACAAATAACAGTTGTAATACAACTCAGGTGACCGTTAAGGCCCATGGGCTTCTTGTTTAATATATCTTTATGTGCTATTGTATGTATAAAACATATTTGTAAACAATCTATATTTGTTACCAAATTTCATGGTACATTGTCTAAATGTCTATTTTTCAGAAGTTTGAATAAATATTTCTTAGCTTACTATGCTTTGAGTGATATTTTTGATTACAAGGACCCCAGTACCACTGCAGAACACTTCGCTGTATATAATCATCGGGATTATTTCTGGTATGACTAAATTAACTTTGTAAATCAATTCTGAAAATAACCTTTCGGAATTCTTATAACAAAAATAGAATGATGAAATACGAATAAAAATTCAATATCAGTAACCTGATATAACAATGAAATGAGTAAAACCGGGATTCACATCCTGGACGTCTGAAAATATACTGTCTTTCTTAAACTGTACATGTACCAACGGAGCTATACTGTCAACGGTACACTGTAGTACCGTTGGCTATTTGCGCTAGTTTTATACAAAACAAATTAAGGGGAGGTTATTACTGTATGCAGTGTTTTGCCTGCAGTGGTACATGGTTCCCAAAGAGACTGCTGCCATTCATCAGTCATCTACCGTTTTGTCAAAACTGCAACTTACAATGCTGGTCAAACCACTGTTTCGTCATTTGTACAAGCGTACAGGGCAAGCCAACATTTAACAGCCAAAGATGGGTTGTAAAAGTATATGATACATAATTAAATGAAGCTTGGCTACAGAATCTATCTCTAACTCAATCTTTTGATATAATGAACATATCTTTAATTTGTAGAGTTATTCCTAAAAGAAATAGAGATATATCCAGTCATAAAACGGATATCTTAAAAATCATAGAAGCGTATAATCTCATTAGGTAAAAGAGATACTTTTAAATTAAAAGTGTATCTTTGAAGAGCAATTTAAAAGATCGTACTAATAGATCTATGGAGTTCCAGCTACGAAGAGTGGAGGGTATAAAGGAAAGATTGGTAAGAAAAAGCCGAACTAGAGGAACTCTATAATCACTGTTATTTCTAAGGGTGTACCTGTTATTTTCTGCAATAGTAGGTGGCAGGAGATCGTTTAAATAATCTGGAGTTAAGGATGTACTCTTCTGAGGTTTCAATCACGTTCAAGTCTCGTTTTGATCTGGTGTAACGGGTTTTTGTAATATTTAACAAATTATGATCAAGTTTATTAGCAAACACGCATCTGAAAAATATGTCAAAAAAATAGATGTCTGTTGTTTGTAGATCTTCTTTTACAAGAATTTAAAAAAAAATCCAATTTGGGGGCCATTTTGAAAATGAGTATTAATGTGTATTCCTTGGGCTTCAAAAAAAGCAAAAATTTCACCTTTTTTGACACTAGATTGATCACTTAAGTTGTCATTGTGTCGCCATTTTTAATTATAGCAGGTTCAATTTCCCTGTACAACTTTATAATATTTAATATGATAAAAATAATATGCAATAAACTGGAAAATTATACATTATTGATATTTTTTTAACATATTTAGTGTAACTGAAGCACTTTTGATTTTTGACCCCGAAAAAGGTAAA